GTAATTTTCCCGTTGGTTTGGTACTGCTTTGGGGATTAAAAAGGGGCGACTTTTTAGCCCCAAAAAGGGGCTCCAAAAATAGGTCAAAAAGGCGCCCCCCAAAGTCCCAAACCAAACGGAAAATTACTAGTCTGCTTATTGGTTCTTTCGCTCCCCTCATCATCCTAGCTCCCCCTTCTGTCGCTACACGCATTACAGTGGCAACGGCCAGATGAAGTGAGGATGCAGACAACAGTATTAGCTAACCAAGTGAAGCCACGAACCTGGATGCCAAGAAAAAAAATCCTACCCTGCAGAAAAAGGATCCTAAATAAAAAATATATAAAAACAAATCTTGTAACCCTCCTAAAGGCTCCCGGCAGAGTGGATGAAGACGTCCCTTCTGACAGACAAGGGGGTGACACAATGGGGTAAGCGAAGCTATTAATAAATTAGTGGCAAGTTATGCCCATAAATTAGTGGCAGGTTATGCCCACAAATTAGTGGCAAGTTACGTCCATAAATTAATGGCAGGTTATGTCCGTACAATTAGTGGCAGGGGATGTCCAGAAATTAGTGGCAGCCTGTGGGACAACCTTGTGGTGTGGACACTCTCGCAAGACACTGCTGCCCGAGTTGACTGATCCATCCGGGGTCGGCGTTATGTCTGTAGATTAGTGGTAGGTTATGCCCATAGATTAGTTGCTATGCCAATCAATTAGTGGCAGGTTATGTCGATAAAATCTTGGCAGGTTGTGTCCATAAAGTAGTGGCTGGTTATGTCCAAAAATTACTGGAAGGTAATGTCCATAGATTAGTGGCAGGCTATGTCCGTAAATTAGTGGCAGGCTGTGTCCATAAATGAGCGGCGCTCCCGCTATGATTTTGTGACACTCTTCTGGGACACTTTTACACGACACTCGTACTGGAAATAACCGCTACATTTTGCATACCTGACTTCTAGGCAAGCTTGAAAATGCAAACCTAATAAGTAATATTATATTAAATTAAACAAGATCTATGTGTTTTGACGAGGGACATTTATGTTCTGGGAGCAACATCGATATTCATTGTTTTAAGACAACAAAAGATCACAAAAATGACAACAATGACAGCACATGACAAACAAATAACAAACAAGGACAAAATTGACAACCCTGAGGCTCGAAGTTAAGGTGTGATTCCATTTTGGTGATAAAAATGGAAAATGGATGGAGCATACGTGGTTCATGCAATCATAATTTCCATGCTAAACAGGTCAAATCCATGCCCAGTTTCTCTCATCAGTTCATACAATTGACACAAATGACTCAGCTGCACACTGAGCTGGCCAACGTAATCACAACGTGTTAGCATCGTGAGCAGGTAAACGTTCAATCAACGTTTTACCATATTTTAGATTTTATCTTTTTGAATATATTTTGTTTTTTTAAATATTTTGTAAAAGAATATGAAACCACATTTGTTTGCACAACGTTCTGGACAACAAATTAGTCTACCAAATTTCAGATTAGCCTACCTAAATTTCAGAAATGCCTATGTCATTTTCAAATCACCTAGGCATTTCTGAGATCAGGTAGGCATTTCTGAAAGTCATGAAGGGCAAACCCCTACAAACTAATACCTTACGATCTGGGATGCATTCTTAAGTTTGTGATGATAAGTTCATTTGACTCTGCATAGGTCCTGACCGAACTGGCGAGATAGGACAGCAATCATTGCTCATGATTAACCTCATCATCATTGTGGATGATTTCTGAGAGGAATCTGAGCCGGCTAATTTGAGAACCACATTCTTTTTAGACTTCATTGCAAGATGAGCTGAGTTTCTACAGCGGTCTACTTCCCTTATGACGAAAGAGCGGGAATGTAAACTTCTAGCTCTGTAGTCCATTTTTTTAATCATGCTTGAGTGGAATTTTAAACGTTGGCAACGCCACGTGAGATGAACCTCAAAGCTGTACATAGACAACGTCTTGTCAGTATGCATGTGAACAGATCATTTCTTTAGAGAATGTAGCAAGCCGCAGTGCAGACAAGTAGCTCAATCTTAATTCAATAAAAAAAACATCGGGCAAGTGAAAGTACTGCTCCTGCGCGTGGTCGACAAAGTCAACCATGCGTGGGGGGTGCGAATGGGATACAGGCCACAACACTCCCTGCATATCCCATATATCAATGCACAACTTTCTCCCATTACCAAGGGTCCGGTCATTAACAATCGACCATCACCTTTGGCTCAAGACTGCCCGACAACAGCGTGAAAAGGAGCTCATGCCGAAACCGACTGGACCTCTGCCGTATTAGTTTGGACATTGATCATACAACAACGGGGATATATCGAGCGACAATCCTCGATTCACACACATACATACATACATACTTACTTACTTACATACATACATACATACATACAACACACATACATACTACATACATACATACATACATGCATGCATGCATGCATGCATGCATGCATACATACATATATATGCTAACCCCCCCCCGATACCTACTTTTTACTGTTAATTCCTTCCTTTCTTCGTAACTACATCTGTGCTGGCAGCAAGTCATTTGCAAGAACCATGTGGGTTACATGCTTGAGGGAGCGTGGGTTCAAAAGGATGAAGCTATGAAGGCTTTGCACAAACTGCTGCGTTACAAGTTCTCACTTGGGCAAACTACAGCAAGTACTTTGCACGAATCACGGTCACATGCTTGAGGGAGGGTGGGTTCAAAAGGATGAAGCTATGAAGGCTTTGCACAAAGTGCTGCGTTATAATTTCTCACTCGGGCAAACTACAGCAAGTACTTTGCACGAACCACGTGGTTCACGTGCTTGAGGGAGGGTGGGTTCAAAAGGATGAAGCTATGAAGGCTTTGCACAAAGTGCTGCGTTACAAGTTCTCACTTGGGCAAACTACAGCAAGTACTTTGCACGAACCACGTGGTTCACGTGCTTGAGGGAGGGTGGGTTCAAAAGGATGAAGCTATGAAGGCTTTGCACAAAGTGCTGCGTTACAAGTTTTCACTTGGGCAAACTACAGCAAGTACTTTGCACGAATCACGGTTACATGCTTGAGGGAGGGTGGGTTCAAAAGGATGAAGCTATGAAGGCTTTGCACAAAGTGCTGCGTTACAAGTTCTCACTTGGGCAAACTACAGCAAGTACTTTGCACGAATCACGGTTACATGCTTGAGGGAGGGTGGGTTCAAAAGGATGAAGCTATGAAGGCTTTGCACAAAGTGCTGCGTTACAAGTTCTCACTTGGGCAAACTACAGCAAGTACTTTGCACGAACCACGTGGTTCACGTGCTTGACACTTTAGGAAGGGTGGATTCAAAAGGATGAAGCTGTTGAGGCATAACATTATATTGAGGTAAAGAGTGGCACTTGCCTACGGTTCGACGAAGACCCCTGCAACCGCAGTAGCTCCCACGATATAGCGAAGAGAAGAAGCATCCTTTTTTTGGCCATCGCACGCTCGCACTCGGTAATCTACCCCAGATACCACTGTACAAGTGCGCCTGTGCATGTCCACAGGTCTTTTCCTCGATTCCAGTACTCGTACTGGCCCGATCTCAATTGCATGCAAAGCATGCGAGCCCCGACGCATGCCTGCTGGTTCAAGGTCACGCGTTCTTTTAAAAAACGCCAGCATCGGTCGACGATCTGCGTACCGGACTTCACCTGCATGACTTTGCCGCCAGGAAGACGATGCTTTTGGACCTCGACATACTTCGGAGCCACCCATCGAAATTTGTTGCCCACCTTTACTCGTGTCTTCTTGTGTACGATACGGTCGTGTAACATACCTGGGACTTGTGCCCGGTAACTCTTCGCAGAATCTGTGTGTAGAATGACATTTTTTCCCTCCAGCCATTTTTTGGCAATTGGCTTCCACTCGACTTTGCGCACTGCTCCCGGGCCCGGAGCGCGCAGTGCTGCCAGCGGAGGTTTCAGGCGGTGCAGCACAAGCGTACCCGGCTTGCCTCGCTGCACTATGCCACACCACTGCTCCCATTGGACTTGCCCTTGAACAATCTTTTTGGCAAACGTGGCTTCGTCAGCTTCCACATCTGCCCATTCATGTCCTCGTCCAAAGCAAATCTCCTTCTCCTTTTCCAGGACGTAAGCTTCACGTAGTGTATACAGCCTCTTCTGCATGTCTTCAATGGCTTTGTGATTCACATACATAAGGCGGTGGATGGCTGCATGTGGCACACGGTTCAGCAAGAGCAGCAGCAAGGCTGCCTGCGTTGAAAGTGGAGTATGTGACTTGCCCCAATGGTCCACAAACAAAGGATGGGCATAGTGAGGACTGATATATGCCTGACAGTTTTTGGCATTGCACCTATGTTTCGGTGGGCCGCCCTGTCTCTGAGGAGCCAACTTCCCCAGGGTTCCATGCTGACAGCGAGGACAAACGGACCCTTCCAAACGAGGTAGCAAACCATCTTTTCGCAACAGCTCCACTAACGCACGGGGCGAGCATGTCAAGAGCTCTGGCAATGACCTTTTCCATGAGTCTCGATCCCCCCGCACCTGCTTCACAGCTTCAGGATCACGAACATAAGGAACTCGTTGCCAATTCGCCTTCTTCTTTGGCTTGAGGTAAGCAGGCCGTTTCAAAACTTGCCGTGTCTTGCCCTTCTTCGCAATGATGGGGTTGAAGCGCGGCGCCATACTCTCTACTATGGGAATGCTTGTTTCTCTAAGATCCAAAAGCTTCTGGTAGAAGAAAACATAACAATGCTGATCGGTTACAAGTATGCGATGACCACATTGGACCAGTGAAGTGACACAAGCTCCTTCATATGTTTATATTACCCGTCGAATGCTGCCAACTGCTGGGATGGCATGATTGTTGCAAGACAAGCACGTACACACGTTCTATGTTATCTTGCTTATGCCTTCCCAACAGCAACACGCACAGCTTCTTTTTATCGCCCGCTACTGTGAGCAGATGTCGCTCCCCATATTGTACTATATGTACATGCCACACGACGGCATTCCCGGCTCAATCATGGAGGAAGATTGCAGCCTCTGTGTCCGCCTCGAAGTCATCTCCATCTGGACCAGTAGATTCTTGCCACTCTTCTACCGCATCCATCTCAGCAGCCTGGGCCAAGGCTTCCAAGTCGGCTGATGAACCATCTGCAGGAGCCTCCTCTGGTCGACTTTTGGTTCTCAGACGCTTGGCAGGTGGATAGCGGAACTGCCCAATCCGATGGCAGCGCAAGGCCGGATTTGGAATGATGACTGGCGGAGGTGGCAGAACAGTTTCTTCTTCCTGAGACGATTCTCCTTCTGGCCTGTCAGAGAGACGGACTGACTGTGCAAGGCGGGCGCGCCACAGCTCGGCTTCGATCTTCTCGTTGGCATCTTTGATGTAGACTTCCGGTCGTCCGGCGGCAAACTTTTCCATGCCCAGAGAGATTGTGCGGACCTCTTGCTGGGTTTCCTGTTCCCACTGAGGGCCATACTCCACGATACCGAGCTTGTACTTGGAATAGAGCGGCTTGTCCTTTTCGGAGAGGAGGTCTTTGTGCAGCTCATCCACCTGGATTCGATGTACTGGGGCCTCTGGATCCTGATTGGGAAGCCGAAGGTAGACAGCATGTTGCCCCACAAGCAAAACCACGGAGCGTTTCAAGCAAGCGAGGACGTCAGCCTGCTTGTCCCCTGCAAAAAGACGTCTGGTCATCTTCATGAACTCCTCGCACGTGATGAAGATGCGTGAGTCATCTAATGGCTCATCCTCACGGTCCAAGTCATTCGACGCATAAGCTCTCATGCAATTCCTCGTGAGCTTTGCGTCATTGTAGCGACCCGACGTAGTTTGCTCTTCTTCCACAGTCAAGAAGGACTTGAGGTCGGCCATGGAGACATTCTCACGGTTGGGGTCGTCCAGGAAGATGCCCTCGTACACATTGGCCACTTGATGCCGAAAGTTATCAAGTGACTTGGCTCTTCTCCATCCTGGCACAGCATCTTCTTCTTGCAACCTGTGGATATGATACCTGCCCATAGCAAGAATCACAGCAATCAAGGCAGGAGTTTTGCCAACCCCGGGCCAGCCCAAAGCTACGACCCCGTAGCAGACGAAAAGTGGGTACAGGACAGGCAATAACTTCTCAGCTAAGAAGGGTTTCAATGAGAAAGTGGTCAAGGGGAAGCCCTTCTGCAATGTGGCACCATTGGAAGCCTTGGACTTGTTTTGTGCCATGATCCTCACTTTGCCTTCTGGCGAACCAGCAATGGGACTCTCCGCATCTTCTCGGATGTTGAGTAAAATCCATGTATACTGCTCATTGTTGGCATCCGTCTCAGGCGCATGGTCATTGATAAAGGCCACGCCTTGGAGTAAAGTGTCAGTGTCTGGGGACCATGTCGATGAAGAGCTTGCACTATTCTTCGCTTGTGCCTCCCATCTCGTCACTGTGCCCCAGTGCACATGATGTCCAGGCAGGCGGTCCAATAAGGATTGGAAAGCCTTCTTGACAGCCCACGGACCTGGACGAGAGAAAGGAACGTAGGCAGATCCTGCAGGAATTTTCGTGGCGTCCCGAATCGCCATCTTGTCTTGGAAAGTCACAAGCTTGATTACATCCAATTTCCCGTGGCCTTTCTCCATGGCAATACACCCAACCTTTGAGTGAGCTGGTAAGGCATGAGCAAACTGCAATGCAGCTGGTAGACTCTCGATCCTTTGCTCCTGGCAGACCGCTGCAACATTTTCGGCAGAACCACAATTCTCCACATCCTGCTGCGCATCCACTAACATCATTGTAGCTGCTCTGAGACCATTGAGTGGACGACAGCAAGAGAGGAAGTCAGATATGCTCATGGGGTTCTCGATGCTGGCACTTGTTTTGGATTCACAGCGCGGGGCCGCCAAACTTTCAAAGCGCCACTGCTTCCCACCGTAGACCCGCATCGCTTCATCGATGATCTCAGTCGCCATGGTGAGGACACAGAGAGACTAGACCCAGCGAGGCGCACAGAGGGGGCACGATACTATGAGCGTAGAAGCGTTGCAGAAGAGATGGATATGCAGAAGCAATGGGAACGAAGCAGACGAGTGCTGGCAGACACAGTCAACTAAGTATAAACTCAAGTCTGGAAACCAAGTCTGAAACAAGTCTGAAACCAAGTCTGAAACCAAGTCTAAACTTATTAAGTTTGCTACACTTCGAACTTATCCTCCCACCTTCCCCTTCCCTGTTTCAAAGGTTACATGGCAATGTGTCTTGCATCGTGCTCCGTGTCTTCGCGAATGCGCAATCTTTTTCATCCGCCGCCGATGTCTCTGGCTCAGCCGCTCTCGCAGGCTCGAAGCAGACCCCTCTATCCTGTACGGTTCTGCTGCGATGCTAAAATGGCCTGCAACTCCAGCACTTTCTGCTGTGTTTTCTCCAACTCGTCCGCCGCTTCAAGATACGTCTCCAACAAATCATCAAAGTCATGACACAAGCTGCACCTCTGGATTTTCAGTGGACGTTCCAGAGTCTGCCCGTTGTCCTGCTCTCCTGCGCTGCCGGCACCCAGCACACCCTCATTCCAAGATGCCACACTTGCGCTCCCATTGGATCCTGCAACCTCCTCTGGACTGTCCACGACGCCACCTACAGGCGAGGGGGGGGCAATGTTGAGGGCCGGGTTGGGCACGTACTCGTACTCAGTATCAACTTCAGGTGCAACGCCTAAAGACGGGTTCGGTACTCCTTGCCATTGCTCTTCTTCTGATGCCGACGAGGAGTCAGAGTCAGAGGAAGAGTCAGACGTGGACGACGTCGACGAGGATGAAGTACCATTCGTCAGCTGCAAGACCTGAGAGAGCGAGAAATGACAGAAGGCATATGATCATACCGAACATGTCTTCGTAACTGTATAATCACGCGCGGAGAACCAAAGTACGTAAGGCGACTTCGGCCCCGAGAAAATAACGAGTGTTAGTGTACTCAAGACATGGAACACATGTTCTGAAGTCCAATCAGCCGAGGCGCAGGTTGGGAGGCTGTGGCAGTCTCCTTTTTGGGACGGATCACTTTGGGGAGAGCCAGGGCATGTAGGAGCTTTCGTGAGGCGTCAGGACTCCAGCTGCCCAGCAATCCGACAGGGGCCAGTCGGAGTCCTTTCTGAATGTTGCAGACCATTGCCGCTAGGTGCTTTCGCGCAAGTGGTTGTCTACTTTCATGTACTGCATGGTCCCCGGCGAGGACTTGATTCAGCAGCATTTGTAGGTTGTCTGCAGGTCCCCCACCAGGTCCCCCAGGAGCCGCCGCGCCATCCTGTGCCACCGACAAGACAACAACGGCCTGATTGTCGCGCAGAAGCACACTTCCGGCAACGGGGATCGACATGAGGCCGGATGCGATGACACGAGGATACGAGATCTCAACAAGCCAAGAGCGAAGCTCAGACCGAGGCACACGGACATTGTTTGTCGGAGAGTTTCTGTCTACACATGTGTACACTGATCTCAAGTCTGAACTTAAGTCTGAACTCAAGCCTCAAAGCCTGCCACCGAAGATCCAAGATCCAAGATTCCCAGATTTTTTTTCTTGGATGCAGGCTGGAAATCTTGGATGCACCCAAGATCCAAGATCCAAGATTTCCAGAAAACTTTTCTTGGAAATCTTGGAAATCTTGGGATAAACCCAAGATCCAAGATCTTGGGTGCATCCAAGATTCTGCAAGTGCATCCAAGAAAAGTTTTCTGGAAATCTTGGATCTTGGATCTTGGGTGCATCCAAGATTTCCAGCCTGCATCCAAGAAAAAATTTCTGGGAATCTTGGATCTTGGATCTTGGGTGCATCCAAGATTCTGCAAGTGCATCCAAGAAAAGTTTTCTGGAAATCTTGGATCTTGGATCTTGGGTTTATCCCAAGATTTCCAAGAAAAGCTTTCTGGAAATCTTGGATCTTGGATCTTGGGTAGCAGGACTCGAGACTATGACACTCAAGTCTGAACTCAAGTCTGAACTCATGTCTCAAGAAACTCAATATAAAAAACTTACCAAATTCAACATATGAAAATAAGCAAATTATACTGTAATTTACAGTATAAATCAAGGAAAGGTAGGTACCAGGGGGGGGGTACCATATATATATATATATATATATAATTATAATCTATTTGGATGGGAAAATAAAAATAACCATGCGCATCCAGTTGGTGGGGCCACCACCTTGAGGGGTTGAGCTGCAGGATTGTTCCCCACATCTTTGTGTGGGGTTCTTGTTTTTGATTCTGTATCCCGGGCTCCGCCTCCTCCTCCTCCTCCGCCTCCTCCTCCTCCACACACACACACACACAC